ATTTGCAAGAATTTATAACAGAAATATAGAAAACTGTGTTTTTTTTAATCACCCAGTAGTGATTAAATACTACCAAAGGAAAGCATTATTTGTGTGAAAAAAATGATTAAAATGTCATAGGGGTACAGTGTTGCCTAACCGTACAATTGTCATTCAAAGTGCAACAGCGCTGAAAGCTGAAAATTGGCGTGAGCAGGAAGGGGGTGAAAGTGCCCTGTATTGAAGTAGTTAAATGACCTAAAAAGTAGGTAGGCTGCCTTGATGTGTTTGGTTATTTTTTGTAATTTAAATATGATTGATATTACATGAAAATTTCTATTTATGTGTTTTAAGGGTACTTTTTTTTTTATGTGCATGAATGGGTATATAGGTTTAATTATCATTTCATCCCTGTTGCTCTCTCTAATTAGACTTGAAAAGGCCATGTACCAGACTATAAACAGTGTGTCTTCAATAGAAGAGTTTCTGGGACAAAATATGGAAGCACAAAAACAGACTTTGTGTGTTTGCTACCATGTCTGTGAGATTCACTGTTTGTTTTATTTGGCTTTGATATTCTGTAAATCAATCTTTGATCAACTGAGTTCTTGGCCTTTAAAATCATACAAGACAATGAAATGTTGATCCATGATACACTTTGGGAAATCACCATGATTGATTCCCTCGCTGCAGTCCAGTTAACTGGGGCCTCAAAACCACTTGGCTATTTGGCAGAAAGCACAAGTGATAAATATAATAATATATTCATGCTCTTGGAAGAGTTCAATTACATTTTATCTTTCAAAGTATTGTTTTTGATTTCAATACAAAATGTTGCTGTGAAATTAATCAAGCCAACTTTGAAATGAAGGCACATAGCATAACAATGGACAGGACTGAGTGTGTCTAGGAACTGGATTTGTTTATTTTCATGTTGTTTTCATGCTGTATAATCCTGAATTGGCTTCACTCTCCAAGTTTTATTTCACTTTTAGTCTGCACAGAATATTCTCCAGCTTAATGTTTCCCTGCTGGACTTCTAAAATGTCACGAATCACATTGTAAAAACAACATTTGAATTCCTTGGAAGTAGGATGTAATTTATGATGGTTAAACTTCTAGGCACAATTTTTTCCTTAAAACATATGTAAGCAGGGGTTAGTACCCCTTTTAGCAAGGTCCCTCCTTTAAGCAGTGGCCAGTGGGTGAAGTGTGATGTCTCAATAAAACATGGTGTGAGAAAGTGAGAGTCCTAGCTCGAGGAATGATGGGAACAGGCTACACCTGGTATACACCATGGATGTCTGTAGCCTTAAAAGGAGAGGTCTCCTTCAGGGTAGGCCACAGGACTCTTAGAGCTGATTCACATATGTGCCATGTGGATTGAAGCTCAGGTTTCAAGCTAATTGACACATTAGTTGTTCACAGGTTCACATCAGGTTTGCATCAGGTTCAGGACAGGATTAGCCTCAGGATCTTATCTTGTTCAAACATATGCGGTTTAGAAACAGTTCCCATAGAAATCAATAGCCTGTAATCTACACCTGAAGCAGACCATGATGCTTAGAAATCAAACATGACTGTTTTTAAAACAGCACTGAATCTGCACCGTCAGTGTACTGGACATATGTAAACAGGAATCATAAGAAGCAATGTTTTTTCACATGTCATTGTATTAGGTTCAAACTGCATCCAATCTACAAATATGTAAACGGGCACTTAGAGAGAACACTAATGGAGGCTCTACAAGGAGGAGTATATGAGAGATAGCTGCACACTTTGCGTTCTGATATTGAATTGTGTTCTTTATGTAGAGCTATGGAGCTGAGGAGAGCATTATGATGGTTCAAGAAATGTTGCTACTATAGTAAAACCGTTAACAGGCTGCTTTTGTGAACAGCCCTTACTGTTGGAGGTGGACATCAGGCCAGAAGAATAGGAGTAGCCAAGATGGCAGAGTGTCTCCCCTTACAGATGTGTGGAAACCCTATTTCATCTTGGGGCATGAAGAAGATGAAAGGAAACTTTGGCCGACTGGAAGGGAGCTGGCTGCCAATCAAGGGGGCTTTCATGCATCTTATGCTAAACACTCAAATGTAATATTTAGCAATTACCAATCCTTACCTGGTGGTTGTATTTATTTATGTTTTTCAGACTGTTTCCCCTTTATCTCACTTGGTAATCCTGTGAATGACACACTTCCAGCCAATAGCATATCCTCAATAGCATATCCTCAGTGAAAGACAGAATTTAAAAAAAAATTCAGGAAATCACATTGTATGATTTTTAAAGAATTTATTTGTCTTGCACTGCTGAACATAAGTATTTGAACACCTGAGGAAATCAGTGTTAATATTTGGCACAGAAGCCTTTGTTTGCAATTACAGAGGTCAAACGTTTCCTGTAGTTCTTGACCAGGTTTGCACACACTGCAACGGGGATTTTGGCCCACTCCTCTACACAGATCTCCTCTAGATCTGTCAGGTTTTGGGGCTGTCGCTGAGCAACATAGAGTTTCAGCTCCCTCCAAAGATGTTCTATTGGATTTAGGTCTGGAGACTGGCTAGGCCACTCCAGAACCTTGATATGCTTCTTACGGAGCCACTCCTTGGTTATCCTGGCTCTGTGCTTTGGATCGTTGTCATGTTGGAAGACCCAGCCACGACCCATCTTCAATGCTCTGACTGAGGGAAGGAGGTTGTTGCTCAAAATCTCACAATAAATGGCCCCATTCATCCTCTCCTTAATATAGTGCAGTCGTCCTGTCCCCTTCGCAGAAAAGCACCCCCAAAGCATGATGTTACCACCCCCATTCTTCACAGTAGGGATGGTGTTCTTAGGATGCAACTCGTCCTTCTTTTTCCTCCAAACACGACGAGTGAAGTTTAGAACAAAAAGTTCTACTTTGGTCTCATCTGACCACATGACTCCCGTGCCTCCTCTGGATCATCCAGATGGTCATTGGCAAACTTCAGACGGGCCTGGACATGTGATGACTTGAGCAGGGGAACCTTCCGTGCAATGCATGATTTGAAACCATGGCGGCGTAGTGTTCTACTGACAGTGACATTTGAAACTGTGGTCCCAGCTCTCTTCATGTCATTGACCAGCTCCTCCCTTGTAGTTCTGGGCTGATTCCTCACCTTTCTTATCATCAGTGATACCCCACAAGGTGAGATCTTGCATGGAGCCCCAGTCAGAGGGAGACTGACAGTCGTCTTTAGCCTCTTCCATTTTCTAACAATTGCTCCAACAGTTGATCTGTTTTCACCAAGCTGCTTGGCAATTGCCCTGTAGCCCTTTCAAGCCTTGTGGAGGTCCACAATTTTGTCTCTAGTGTCTTTTGAGAGGTCTTTGTTCTTGCCCATGGTAGTAGTTGGCGTCTGACTGACTGTGGGGTGGACAGGTGTCTTTAAAGAGCTCAGACAGGTGCTACTAAGTTAGATTAATGAGTGGAGTAGAGGTGGACTTTTTAAAGGCACAGTAACAGGTCTTTGAGAGCCAGAATTCTTGCTGTTTCTTAGGTGTTCAAATACTTATGTTCAGCAGTGCAAGACAAATACATTCTTTAAAAATCATACAATGTGATTTCCTGAATTTTTTTTTTAATTCTGTCTCTCAGAGTGGGAATGCACCTACAATGTGAATTTCAGACCCCTCCATGATTTCTAAGTGGGAGAACTTGCAAAATCGCAGGGTGCTCAAATACTTCTGTTCCTCACTGTATACATACATATATATATATATATATATATATATATATATACACTATATTGCCAAAAGTATTGGGACTTCCCTCCAAATCTTTGGAGTCAGGTGTTCCAATCACCTCCATGCCCGCAGGTGTATAAAATCAAGCACCTAGGCATGCAGACTACTTCTACAAACATTTGTGAAAGAATGGGTCGCTCTCAGGAGCTCAGTGAATTCAAGTGTGGTACCGTGATAGGTTGCCACCTGTGCAATAAGTCCATCCATGAAATTTCCTTGTTACTAAATATTCCACGGTCAGCTATTAGTGGTATTATAACAAAGTGGAAGCAACTGGGAACAACAGCAACTCAGCCATGGGTAGGCCATAGTAGGCCATGTCAAATGACAGAGCAGGTCAGAACATGCTTAAGTGCACAGTGCAGAGAAGTCGCCAACTGTCTGCAGAGTCAATAGCTAAAGACCTTCAAACTTCATGAGTAGAGAGCTTCATGGAATGGGTTTCCATGGCACAGCAGCTGCATCCAAGCCTTGTGTAAAGCATGCTGTCTCTGATCTCAAGCAGTGTAGACATGTTTTGTGGAGGGATGAATCACACTTCTCTGTCTGCAAATCTGATGGTAATGTCTATGTTTGGTGGTTGTCAGGAGAACAGTACTTGCTGACTGCATTGTGACAACTGTAAAATTTGGTGTACAGGGGATTATGGTGTGGGGTTATTTTTTCAGGGGATGGGCTTGACTCCTTAGTTCCAGCAAAGGGAATTCTTAAGGTGTCAGCATCCCAAGACATTTTGGACAATTTCATGCTCCGAAGATTGTTGTAACAGTTTGGGTATGGCCCCTTCCTGTTCCAACATGATTGCGCACCATTGCACAAAGCAAGTTTGGGGTAAAGGAATTTTGAACATTGTATATTGAACCCTACGGACTAAGACTTGGGATGCCATTAACCTCCCTAGCGGTCTGATTATGTCCATATTTCTGTGCTCAAAGCGGTACATTTTTTTGCATGGAAATTGGTATTTTTTTTTATTGTAGGCCTGTAATTTTTAGGAATAACTCACTGAAATCTGTCCAAAGAAGAGTCTAGGAAACATCCTGGGTATGTTACAATTTGAAACATGAAATCATAAATTATAATTTAATAAATAATCAAAAATAATATAATAATACATTTAATTCAATAATATAATCAAACCAAAAACACTGAAATTTGAAATATAGCGCCAAATTCGCACATCACTGAGCAAAGTCGCAAAATCATTTTCAGTGTCTGATGACAAATTTCCCCACAAATCATTATCACTCAATTCTGCAAGTGGTTCTGATTTACGATTGCTGTTCTCTAGCCGGTCTAAAACCACTTTTGACCTAAAGGGGCGCTTTTTGGACGCCATGGACATTTCTCAGTTTCCAGGCAGAAAGAACAGTAAAAATGCAGGCAGGGCACAGGACAAAGCACTAGGGACAAAATGTATGTGAAATGGTTTGATACAGTAATGTTTTACTATGTGATTTTAGTGAATTTAGTGAATGTCACATTTTGTCATTTTAAAATTTCCCGCCGTTCCGTCCCTGTATGTCCTGACGCTCGCAGGGGACGGAACCTAGATGTCAGATGCCGGCATCGGCCGGAGGACATTGCCGGGGACACTGCAGGGGGGACATCGCGGGAGTGCAGGACAAGGTAAGTGAAGAACAGATCCAGAGCAACACCGCATGGTAAAGCCCGAGTGTAGCTCGGGGTTACCGCTTTTGGTACTAAATCTTTTACCCCGAGCTACACTCGGGAATACCGACAGGGAGGTTAAAGTTGTGTGTGTAAAGACAGGCCTCCCAATACTTTTGGCAATATGGTATATATATATATATATATTAAATCTTCCACTGCTAACCTCTCTGTTTAAAAAGTCAGTTCCTTGGCTGCATGAGGGAGTATGCCGAAATGAATTTCTAATACTTCTTAGATTTTCTTCATCTGTTAACATTCCAAATCAGTGACTCAAAAGCATTAAACTTAGTGGGTCACAACATTAACCAGGCAACTATTTGGAAATAGCAATGGCAATCGAACACTACAAATATTTGACCTGGCTGGCTCCCAGGTAGTGATTAATGCTAAATCAAATTTAAGGAATATTTTGGTGAATTTATATGTTAAACCACCAAAACCCCAGGCAAAAATAAACAACAGTTAATGCAGCTATACATTAATTAAAGGTCAATAAACATAATTCCAAATGCAGCTAGTTTAGGTACCTAAATCTGTACAGTAGACTAATAGAATGAGGGCCACCAATACAGGCCAATTGCACTCTGCTGCATGCACGTGTACTGAAAAAAACACAATGAGTAAAGGAGAGAAGAAAGACATGACATCATCACATTCATTGTCCAATAACAGGCCTGGGGTGTGTGTGAGGTGGGGGCTTGGGGCTCAAGGAGGGGTTCCTGCTATGTTGCCTCAGTTCAGTAGGGAAAAGTGGGGTCACCAACTTTGCTGTACTGTGTAAATTTCAAAACAAAGTGGATTAAATTTCAAATACTTTGGAAGGTAAAACAATTACCATGTATGCAGTTCAGTTGCATATTTAGATTCTTGTCTGGAGTTCAGCTTTTATATCAGTATTTTTTTTATCTCTAGCTCTCTAACATGTTTCATTATTCATCAACTCGTTTTATGCAGTCATCAGTGATTTATTACCCTGGTACTTCGTATTCATGAAGGCATTTAGGGGGTTGTTAACTAAAACTGCATGGTGCAAAATGTGGTGCTGCTCTGCATATGAACTAATCAGTTTCCATGTTTTATTGTCAAAACATAAATGAACAAGCTGAACTTAGAAGCTGATAGGCTACCATGCATGGCTGCACCAGATTCTGAGTGTGCCACTTTTAGTAAATCTCCTCCCACGTGTCATATTCTTGTCTGTATACTTAGGTTCCAAATATTGATTACTTTGTTGATTTTATCAATATAGAGTTCAAATTGTTTCTACAATTAGAGTCACCTTATAAAAGTATAAAGGACCATTTCCCTCTTCCCTGCTTTAAACTGAAGTAGCATAAAAATAGGAATAAACATTCACACTAAATGGGAATTACTGTCAAGTTGATTGAAACGTTATTCATCATTGTAGAAGAAATCACCAGACCTCCCCTAGCAATGCTTTCAGCAGAACGAATGCTTGCAGCTGCAACTTGCCAGCCCACATTATTTAACAGTTTTTTTGGAAGCTTGTTTGAGGTTTTAAATAGCTGTTGGCAAATACCATTAATACTTTGTTGGAATGAAAATGTACTCTTGCCAGTTCAGAGTACATTATTATAGAATCAAGTGGAAAATAAAATAGGTTCAATATAACTAGAGATGAGCGAATTATTCAAAAATTCGATTCGGCTGATTCGCCAAATTCGCGGAATAAATTCGATTCGAAGCGAATATATTCGCTGCGAATTTAACGTGTAAAAAGGGTGTTTCTAGGCTTCAGAGAGCCTTTATATTAGTGCAGAACACTGTACCTTTAATTTAAATGCCCTTGGAGTCTGCTGGGGAAGAGAAATAATACTGTCAGTCAGTATGACATGCAGATGAGTGCCGTCGATCTTAGAATCACCGCACACTTCACTCATTTGGGCAGTCACGGGGCCAAAACCAGAGTGTGGAGCCACAGTGTGGCGGTGGAGGCAGCAGCAATGGGAGGCCATACAGCACCCTATGACAAAATGGAACCCACCAGCAGTGTGAGGAGACCTGAAAGTGGCACATGGCAGAGTGTGGCGATGGAGACAGCAGCAATGGGAGGCCGTACAGGGACCCATGACACACTCTGGACCTGGCAGCAGCATGAGGAGGCGGTACAGGGGGCCATGACAGATTACGGGCCTGGCAGCAGCATGAGGAGTCGGTACGGGGGCCCATGGCAGATTACGGGCCTGGCAGCAGCAATGGGAGGCCATACAGCACCCTATGACAAAATGGAACCCACCAGCAGTGTGAGGAGACCTGAAAGTGGCACATGGCAGAGTGTGGCGATGGAGACAGCAGCAATGGGAGGCCGTACAGGGACCCATGACACACTCTGGACCTGGCAGCAGCATGAGGAGGGGCGGTACAGGGGGCCCATGACAGATTACGGGCCTTGCAGCAGCATGAGGAGTCGGTACGGGGGCCCATGGCAGATTACGGGCCTGGCAGCAGCAATGGGAGGCCATACAGCACCCTATGACAAAATGGAACCCACCAGCAGTGTGAGGAGACCTGAAAGTGGGCACATGGCAGAGTGTGGCGATGGAGACAGCAGCAATGGGAGGCCGTACAGGGACCCATGACACACTCTGGACCTGGCAGCAGCATGAGGAGGCGGTACAGGGGCCCATGACAGATTACGGGCCTGGCAGCAGCATGAGGAGTCGGTACGGGGGCCCATGGCAGATTACGGGCCTGGCAGCAGCAATGGGAGGCCATACAGCACCCTATGACAAAATGGAACCCACCAGCAGTGTGAGGAGACCTGAAAGTTGCACATGGCAGAGTGTGGCGATGGAGACAGCAGCAATGGGAGGCCGTACAGGGACCCATGACACACTCTGGACCTGGCAGCAGCATGAGGAGGCGGTACAGGGGCCCATGACAGATTACGGGCCTGGCAGCAGCATGAGGAGTCGGTACGGGGGCCCATGGCAGATTACGGGCCTGGCAGCAGCAATGGGAGGCCATACAGCACCCTATGACAAAATGGAACCCACCAGCAGTGTGAGGAGACCTGAAAGTGGCACATGGCAGAGTGTGGCGATGGAGACAGCAGCAATGGGAGGCCGTACAGGGACCCATGACACACTCTGGACCTGGCAGCAGCATGAGGAGGCGGTACAGGGGCCCATGACAGATTACGGGCCTGGCAGCAGCATGAGGAGTCGGTACGGGGGCCCATGGCAGATTACGGGCCTGGCAGCAGCAATGGGAGGCCATACAGCACCCTATGACAAAATGGAACCCACCAGCAGTGTGAGGAGACCTGAAAGTGGCACATGGCAGAGTGTGGCGATGGAGACAGCAGCAATGGGAGGCCGTACAGGGACCCATGACACACTCTGGACCTGGCAGCAGCATGAGGAGGCGGTACAGGGGCCCATGACAGATTACGGGCCTGGCAGAAGCATGAGGAGTCGGTACGGGGGCCCATGGCAGATTACGGGCCTGGCAGCAGCAATGGGAGGCCATACAGCACCCTATGACAAAATGGAACCCACCAGCAGTGTGAGGAGACCTGAAAGTGGCACATGGCAGAGTGTGGCGATGGAGACAGCAGCAATGGAGGCCGTACAGGGACCCATGACACACTCTGGACCTGGCAGCAGCATGAGGAGGCGGTACAGGGGCCCATGACAGATTACGGGCCTGGCAGCAGCATGAGGAGTTGGTACGGGGCCCATGGCAGATTACGGGCCTGGCAGCAGCAATGGGAGGCCATACAGCACCCTATGACAAAATGGAACCCACCAGCAGTGTGAGGAGACCTGAAAGTGGCACATGGCAGAGTGTGGCGATGGAGACAGCAGCAATGGGAGGCCGTACAGGGACCCATGACACACTCTGGACCTGGCAGCAGCATGAGGAGGCGGTACAGGGGCCATGGCAGATTACGGGTCTGGCAGCAGCATGAGGAGGCGGTACAGGGGCCCATGGCAGAGTGGCGGAGCATAAGCAGCTAAAATTGAAGGCCATACAGAGGCCTATGTTAAAAAGTCCCCCCCAGCAGCAGCGTGGGGAGATGACTAATAGTCGTCTCCCCACGCTGCTGCTGGGGGGACTTTTTAACATAGGCCTCTGTATGGCCTTCAATTTAAGCTGCTTACGCTTTGCCACTCTGCCATGGGCCCCTGTACCGCCTCCTCTTGCTGCTGCCAGGTCCAGAGTGTGTCATGGGTCCCTGTACGGCCTCCCATTGCTGCTGACTTCATCGCCAGACTCTGCCATGTGCCACTTTCAGGTCTCCTTACACTGTTGGTGGGTTCCATTTTGTGATAGGGTGCTGTATGGCCTTCCATTGCTGCTGCCTCCACCGCCACCCTGCGCCATGTGCCTCTGTCGTCTGCTCACGGCTGCTGACGGCTTCCGCTTTTTAACCGAGGCCTGTGTTTGGCTTCCGAATACTGCTGCATCCACCGCCACCCTGCGCCATGTGCCTCTGTCGTCTGCTCATGCTGCTGACGGCTTCCGCTTTTTTAACCTAGGCCTGTGTATGGCTTCAGAATAATGCTGCCTACACCGCCACCCTGCGCCATGTGCCTCTGTCGTCTGCTCACGCTGCTGCCAGGTCCATACTGATTCATGGCCCCCTGTACCGGCTCCTCATGAACGTGGTTCAGCGGGTTTGCATCACTTAACGGCAAATCGTTGGCAAACGCTGGGACGTTCAGTGTTGTGCGCATTAAGCCAGACACCAAAGGGCAGCACAGACCTGTTATTACTCGCGCTCAAGCATGGCTGAACAAAAACCAGTCTCTACCACAAATTGGACCCAGACCTGCCCAGGGTCTCGTAAGTAGATTGCACGGAGGAGTAGAGTTCGTTATTGGAATTAACTGTGAGGGACTTTTTAAACCTAGGCCTGTGTATTGCCTTCAATTGAAGCTGCTTCTGCTCCGCCACTCTGCCATTGGAC